TATGGTACAAATTATTTTACCCACCTCAAGACTGTTCTAGTTCTTATATAAAAATATAGTACAATCTAAGTCCCTGGAAACTACCACGTAGCTGGTAGCATATTGGAGGAATACTTGAGTATATAGGAGAAGGGAGAAACTAGTTTAGCTTAATAAATGTATGAGTTCCAGCTCACATAACCATGTAAAACACGGCAGCAATCAAGACAGATAATATCTTTTCCTTTTTTCCTTCATCCTTCAGTTCTGGAACCAAGCCTACATGAAGAAATGAAGCATTAGAAACGCTGCCTCTACAAAGCATCACTAATGGAGTGGGAAAACACAGTTTTGATGGTATTGTAGACAGGGAAACTGAGTCACTGAACTTGGTGCTGGCAGGGATGACTGTTTGTGTCACTGAACCTCTGAAACTTTGTGACCTGTAGAGAGAGGAGCGGAACCAAATCTCTTCTTTTCTCCAGTACTGAGTAGTTACTTGTAACAGCGTGCATCTACCTGGTTTTGTTTCCATCTTCGGCTGTTAATGGTGCGGGATTTGACTAGCTAGCAAAGATACTCCTTAGTGGTTTTAGCCCTTATTGGCTCTTGGATGAAAGGTGAGATCTCATAGCATTCGTTTCCACAGCCTTATCTTGATCATCTCAGAGTGGATAGCACCTTCATGGCACTTTCAGATATATTCAGGACATCAGTTAATTCTTACCGTTTGGTGCTGGGAAAGTAACTTTTGTTAGGTTATTCTTTTTATAGGTCATCTGTTATTTCAACTAGAAGAGGTTCTTTGTCTGTATCTGCTCAGCTCCTACCACTGCAAGAGGCAGTTTCTGGGCTGTACAGTTTTTCATGGCTTTGCCACCCTTAGTTGAGTCTTCTGTTGTTTTGTGTCGCTACAGAGAAAGGAAAGAGATACAGAACTAGCCCTTTCCCTTTTAGTTTTATGGTGGCATCAATTTGGTATTAAAAAGGTCGGATTTGTAATAGTAGTCAGGAAACAGCAAATCAAAGCAGCTGGTTTCAAAAGAACAAGATTTTCAAAAGTCCACAAGTATGCCATGCTAAGGATCCTATCCGGTGAGTTAGGATAGAATGGGATATCCTTGGGAGCAAATGCATTGGGAATGGAGCTTTTATGAAACTTCTCAAACAGGAGCTGGCCATTTCTGGCTTCTACATGATTGCTAAATGCTTAAAAATATGTCCCAAGCTGTTATGAATATTTAGTCCTTTGAAAGCCCCTTAAACATAATCCTACCTATTCTGAATACTTTTGAAAATTAGATTACTTTGATTAAATGCCTGAATGAGAGTTAAACTCTTTTAAAAATCTGATCAAAAGAGATTATAGGAACTGCAGCTTTTTATTTAACTGGAGGAAAACCAGCCAAGCTCATATTACAAAAAATAAGCCACTGTCCACTTGGTCTGGCTACAGAGCACATTTTCAATAAGTTTATGCTCTAACAAGCTGTATCAGTTTCATCTCAGTAGATCTGATGGTTATTGAACAGTGTTCAATGTTCTGGAGGGTGCCAGGCACATAATTGTTTTTACAACACTGTAAAATGAATCAGACTGAAATTAGTGTCACTCAGCAGAATCACTTTCCTTCCATTTAAATTACTTAATCTGAGAGTTAATCAAAAAGAAAATGAAGTTTTGACACTGCCCTTCAGCTAAGGGCAAGCACAGGTTCAGTTGTCTTCGCTTCATTTGGCTACGAAGACCTGCTTCACGATATCCGCACTTGTACATGTGGCACTACCGTGCTACTGATCACAGAGGGGAAAGCAGGACAGTGCTGTCTTTTCAATGCTTCCCGCTTAAAAATCAAATTGCCAGAAGAAGGAAAATGGTGCCATTTTCTAATTTTAACTCCTGTGAAATGGGAGTTAGCAAAGAGGAGTTACAGAAAGCTAGGAAAAGGGGATATTTCTGGAGGGAAGGTCCTTACAAGAGTAGGCTAGCAGCTCCATCGATTTTAAAGCACAGAGATGTTCTCATCCCTCCTTTAGTGCTGCTTGTGCTCAGGAGTTGAGGAGATGTGAGCGGCTAATCGGGTTAAGGTATCCCGTTGTGTAAAAATATCAAGCACCACCTCCTTGGTTTCTCTTGTATAAATTTCCTCCCTGCTGAGATTAACCAAACATCCATTGTTCTGCTCACTTTGACTTGTGTATTTTGGAAGCAATTCCAGTAAATGTCTCTGCCTTGAAGGCATTCAAGTCTTCCTACATGTGACTATTGCCTCGTTCTGATCATTCACTGTAACAGGTTTATTATTTTTCACTCCGTCATATTTTGTATATATGCAGGTTTCAGTGGCATTTATTAGTAGTATGTTTCTGGAATAATGTCTGGCTGACGAGTTATATCAATAACAGCTGGGCAAAGTAAGGTGATTGTGAGCTATAATTATTGTATACAGCAATACTATCAATGAAAGGCTCCAAGAAATGATCCAGACTAGAGATATTTGTAGTTTCAATAGTGCATAATCCCTTAGCAACAATACAATTACGCAAAATGAGATAAAGGGTTAGTCTACATGTGAAAATTGCATTTTTTTTATTCATATTGCTTTTCAGTTTGTGTAGATAATATTTGTCCTCTGATAGCCTCAATTCAAGAGCTACTGGCGCAAGAAGCCTCAGCTTCCATTTTCCTGCTTCCCCTCAAAAACTGTAGGTTGGAGGCATCGCAGTCCTTTCAGGTTGAGTTCAGAGATCTCCTTCCTAGAAAGACCTGGGGAGTTCTGCCGAGGCTAAGTTGCTGCAGCTCAGTCGTTCTCCAGCCAAGTGGCCAACAGTTAATACAATCTTAACACAGCCCTACCCACACAGGTCTTCCCAGCCTGGTACCAGAGCACCGAAGCACGTGGTGTTGCAGTCCAGCCTAGGCAGTATGGATAACCTCCTGCAGGTTTGGGGCAGGGCTCTCAGGATATATTCCGCAAATGGAAGTATGAGTGTAGCACAAGAAGATAAACCCACACTAGCTTTACTGAAGCAACAGTAGGAGTGAAAACAGAATAATAGAGGCTTAACATAGGCCAGGAGCCAAAACATTTGCCTCGCATCTTTCAGGGGCCTGTAGTTCCAGCTACTAGCTTGTGTAGGAAGGTGCAAGACTCGGCTTGTGTGAGTGGAGCTCCCAGGGCGCATTCCCTGTGCTGGGAACATGTGATTGGGATTTAATTAGCTCCGGTGCATATGGGATAACTTCTTTCATTACAACATATATCTGAAAATTTATATTCTAGCAGAGACAGTGAGGAATGTAGCTTGTTGAGTATTCTGACATGTTTCTATTGAAAGTCTTTTAGATTTCCACCCCCACAGCACATCCAGAAAAGCATCTGCTTCAGTCTGAAGTCATTGGGTTATTACACCCAAGAAGTGCAAAGGTCAGGCGGAGCCAATACAGATTTTTCAGAATATCCAAGAAAAAGCAAATATGTTCCCTACAAGCGGTAAACAAGTGGGAGCACCAGAGAAGAGAGGATTACAGTGAATCAGCGATGATAAAACAGTATTCACTCCTTAATCTCTTTTCTTAAGCAACAATCTATCATGATTCTGAGGTGATAAAACATGTGTTTAGTAATGAATGGAAAATAGGAAGCCACTGATGGCAATGTCACACCCTGCTTTTATTGGCTGGGGACTGGATGCAGAGATATATCATTACACTAAGTTATATGGGTGGTAACATTACTCAAAACCACCGAGGACCAACAATCAGCCTTTATTGGTCCTGGCATTCATAAAATGATCCAGCTCTGCTTGATATCTTGTGGTACGTGACTAGTCAACAGGGTAAGTCTTACATAATAACAGTGGAAAGGCAACATTAATTGTGTGCCATCTGTCAAACGTGTGTTTAGAAAGTGCTCTGGCTGGTTTGGTATATAGACTATGCAAACAAATAGAAAAGAAAACTGAGACCTGCCTCTCCTGGTGAATCTAGAATGGTATGGATAAGGGCATTAAACATTCTGGAAACTTTTGGGAATGTGAAAAAAAAAAAAATAACTAGCCAGATACATTCTTCTTCAATGTGAATATGCAAATATAGGTACATGTTCTATCTCTTTTTCCATAACGAAACTGGGTCTGGATAACTTTGAAAGGACAATTTTCAAAGGGAATTAATGCAAATGGTCTTTGAAGGACTTTTTAGTGTGCTAGTGAATAACCCAGGGGTTGTGGATCTTTTTTTTTTCCTACATCATGCTTTGGAAATTAGACATATTCTCTAGCTGCATTGATCAGCAGCAAGAATTGAACTAAAATCAGAAAAAAATGAGGTAGTTTGAGACCATCAAAATGTTGCAGGACAGGTTCCCAGTGAGACTGTAAGGTGTCATTGTAGGGCAGTGGAGCGCAGCTTGGATGTGGGAGCTGACCGTATCAGAACTACAACTCCTTTGAAAATGTTGGCTCCAGGTGTTTCAATATCTAGGGTTTTAAGAATATCATACAAGCTAAAATATCAGAAGCCTGAAAATGAGATTTCTTTCAGTGAGAATCCTGGTGTGTAGACAACTTCAGTCTATAAATACCTAGCAGAAAGGCACTAAGAACTGATTCTGGGTAAAAGGAATGTATCAGTTAGTGGGGACTAGGAAAGATAACCGAGGTGCAGACAGAAATAAATAATAGATAAATAACTGTCCCGTTTATACATAGCTTCTCTAAGAGCATGCACATGTGTGGGTTTTTTTTTAATTTTTTGCTTGTGCTATAATCGGTTTCGTGTTTTGCATCCTGATTGTTTGATAATTAAGAAAATTGATTCTCCTTGTTGGAGGATGGGAAGCTCTAGAGATTGCCTCGAAATTATGGCGTGAAAGGCTATAAATCGGACTGGGAAAGGTTACTGAAAGATGCGTTATTTCATTTCCATTAAGGTTTCATAAGAACATGAATGATTCATTAGGGAAGGTTTTGAGTTTTTCCTACCAGATCCAAGTGTCAGTCCCTTCCTTTCTCTTCCAGGGATCTCCAGGATTGGACCCCCATGGTTTTCTCCAGGATAAATCTTCTGGAAAGAAGAAAAGGGAAGAAAATGAAACCAAAATCAAAGCTAAGTCAAATGTGGATGTGGTCCCATCTGGGTCCTTCACAAACAAAGCTCTCCTTAAATGAGCTGGCTGCACGGGCACCTCGCTGGGGACGCCCCGGACGCCAAGGTCCCTCCAGGGAGCACAGTCAGGGGAAGGGGCTGCCCCGGGCTCCCCCCAAGGCTCCTGGGGGCGAGGGAAAGGGTTGATCGACCTAGATCCTGCAGAGGAGAAGGCCGGGTGCCCAGCACCTCGCCGGGGCTGTGGTATCCTCCTGGAGGCAGCCAGAGGTCTCCCCTTAGGATAAGGGGGCATCTTCAGTTTTGGCTCATTTTTAATAATCCGGATAATTAACGTAGAACAAATCGGATCCCTTCACTGCAGGGAACACGATCCCTTTGTCAGCCCAGGAGAGAAAAGAGCAGATTGGGTTATCAGGGGCCACCGGCAGGTAACAGCGGGCTGCAGCCGGGTGCGGGGGCTGCGGGGCGTCCACCCCGCCAGGGCCGGGGCCTTCCACACAGGGAAGGACAAGTCCTCCCTTTCCCCAGTCAGCTACAAACGAATAATGCCGAAATGTTAGAGAAAGGGGCAGAGGGTAAGGCTCCTCTGCCGTTCGGGTGACAGTCAGTGTAATTTAGGCACCTCAGAAAGCAAGCAAAAAAGTGAGACAGGGTTCTTAACTGATGTTATACTTATTTCTCTGCTTTGCAGTGTCATCTCGGTACTTGGTTTTTTTGCTTTTTGGTTTTTGTTTTTTTTCGTTTTGGCATACATTACTAAAGAAAGGAGGGAACAAGCAGAAAGAAACCTTGCCTGACCACTGCATTAACTGTGATAAAGAAAGTCCCTGTTTATTTGTGCACTTCTTACTTTCCTGCTGCACTTCAGTAACTTGCTCTCCCCACGATGCCTCCAAAGGCACACCCCTGTCTCTGCGCGCACATGCTTGTTTCAAGCCTCTGCCCCTCCACGCTGCCATCATAGCATCTTTCTGTACCCGCCTTTATACTTACACGTGTGGGATGATGTCGTTTTATTCATAATGATTATAATAATGCCTATAACATAATATATATCAATGTAATTGTTACTGTATTCATATCAGTAATTAATGCTAATGTTTTTGATACATTTATTAATACAATATATTAATGAATGCACTTCAGTTACACAGAGTTCTCAGGGAAGCTTTCAAAGGGATGTCTTGTTTTTATTATGTTTCGCAGGTCTTAATTATTATGTCTCCTTGGGCCAAAGAGAAGTAAGTGGTGGGTCGGAGCCAACTGGGGCTCGCAGAGTTTAAAGTCAGAGCACAGTGGAGCCCAGCAATAGGGCACCTCACAGTAAAAAAGCAATAGGATGAGAGGCAATGGGCACAAGCTGAAACACAGGACGTTCTGTGTGAATATAAGGAAAAACTTTTTATAGTGACAGTGGCAGTGGCAGGGACCCTCTCCCAGTAGCTGCAGTAACATCTGGAGCCCCAGTACTGGAGACTCCTGCACCTGCACCCACACTCCCTGCTGCTGCGATCTATTAATAACGAATGTCTCCAACACATCTGCCAGGGGAACCACTCTCTTCCCCAGGCCAAGGGCAAGGGGAAGTTAAATAAAAATTGTTTTTCAGCCCATACATCCTAAGGGCTTGGAAATTTTCTGATCGCAGAAAGAAGGGGACAACCACAAGTAAACACATACATGTCTGTTCCCTAAGGATATACAGAGCACACGGCTCTGTGCCGGTTGATGCTTGGATGTGGTTGTGGCAGGTTTTGCACCAATGAATGCCTCCACTCTGGCCAGGCAATGTTGAGCTGACCCCTCTGCCTGTATATAACTCCCTGCTTTTGGCATCATTGATCCAGGCTCGGGAAGGTAGCATAAACCTGAATGAATTGCTTGTCTGTTTTTCAGATATACACGGATCTCTCCCTGCGGTAGAGGTAAAAAACATGCAAGATTCTTTCGGAAAGGCAATGTCCCAGATTTCCGCTGATTGCAAAACGCTGCAGCCTACATTGTGTAGTCAGAAGTGCTGCAGCCTGGATAGCCTCTGTGGCTTGCCCACCACTTGACTGCCCCAAGGAGATGCACCTGTACACTTCCTCAGTATTTTACCTGCTATGAAGACCATGAATGGCAGGAGGCTGGTCCACGGCAGTGCTGTAGTTTCCACTGCAATGAAAAATGAGTGCAGAGCCTGGGGGCCTCGGTCATCCTTCTGGCTGGTCGCCAACCACCTGGGTTGGCAGCTCCACGCTCTGCCCGGAGCTGGAACAGCAAACACTCTTCTTGCCATGATTTATGATCCATCCTACTGAGCTCAGTGAGGCTTTCCTGGGAGCAGGCATGAATCACACTAGGAGTGTGTGCTAGGCCTGGCCCTCGGTGAATATTGCTCTATCAGTAGCCTGTGTTCCCAAGATAGAGCAGTTCACTGAGGCAGAGCTCAGTCCAAAAGACAAAGGTCTTGTGTTTGGATTTCTGCCCTAGGGAGAAATCTCTGAATTACCAGAGAGCCAGAAGACAAAACAATAACCATCGAGCGCGTATGGAGAGCACAGCAGCAGGAGGGCAACGCTCACCCTTGGTCTACATGAGAGAGCTGCTGTGTGACCCTGGTGAGACACCTCACTGGAAACTGTTGAATGAGTCAAGTTGCCTCCAGCAGCTGAAGGGCCAGAGCTCTAGGTTCACTGCGGGGCTGCAACAGGCTGTGGGAACGAACCACCGCAGCCACCACTGCCCTGCTGGGCCCCAGAAACCTGTGAAACTGCTGTAGCAGCTGCTGGCAGCAGTCTGTCCATGCTCCTCGCTGCAGAAAGCAAACCAAAAAGGAAGAGGTGACTGAAGTCATTGCCTACTGCAGCGTGCCTCAACCCATAGAGCAGGTAGCCCTGGCAGCTCTGCGGAGCTGTGCTGGAAACAGAGGCACCATCCTGCTTGGAGCTACACCCAGCCTGGAAAGTGGAGGCAGGAACAGCTTCAAAAATTGCAGCGAGGTTTGCCAGAGCTCTGCTGTCAGAGCCCTGCTGCTGCCTTAGCATGCACACAAGCCTTTGGGGCAAACTCGCCTCTACGCTTGTGACCCATCAGCTGCCCCAGGGATCATGGAAGGGGACACCCCGTCTGGGACTGTTCTTGGCAGGGTGCTCTGGTTCCACCACCACACTGCCTGGAGCCGGGATACCCCATCAGCTGCATGCCTGGTGCAGGGAGAGCAGCTCCTGCCCTCGGCTGCATACCGCTATGTCGGCCTCCCTCTCCCTCTTCCCGTTTACCCCATCAGAGGGATGAGAATCTATCCCTCACACGCTTATTTAGGGGAAGAGGCCTCAAAATCTTCCAGATGCCACCAAAAATGTGGCTCCCCCCCCCCCCAGTCCCTCCATACAGGAAGAAGTAATCAAGGTAGGCCCCTTCCCAGTCTTCCCTCCAGACCCAAAGTCAGCTTCAGATAAGACCACACCAGCAACCCTGCTCCGTGCAAGCAGAGGGGAAACGCATCAGGATCCTGAAGGCTCCCCAAGGAGAATTAAACTACAGAGGAAGGACTTAAAACTATGCACAGACCAACTCCCCTCTCTCCCACCACGGCTGAAGTGAATTGCTTCAGCTGAGCAGGCACTCGAGGAAAAACGAACGGCTTCCCGGGAAGAGGCCCAGCATGCACGCAGCGGCCCACGGCGCGTGCAGCGATGTGCGCACGCTGCAGGGCTCGGCGCCGAGCAGCGAGAACGGAAAGGGACGGACGGGATGCACGGCTGTATACACAGTGCATGTATACAAAAGCATAGGAGCGGGCGTGGAGCGGCTGTGCGGAGATGCACATTTAGACATATTTAAAGAGAGTGTTTGAAGAGCTAGATTGGGCGTAGAGCAAGCACAATTTGTGGGCACCTACCCACATTCACATGGTTATTTCCAAGTTGAGGACGTACAACTGTCTGTTTGCAGTGGGAGACGCACATCCGCGTTTTGTCTCTCTGCTTCATAAGCTGCCCCCAGCCCATGTACTCCTGCTGCCCCCAGGCTTCTGCTCTGTGGGTGACCTCGGGAAGGGGCAAAGCCACCGCAGGCTCCCATCTCGCTCCCCCGGAACCGGGGGCAGGCTTAGCCCCGCTCTGGGGTTTCAGCCACCCCCTGGGGAGCTCGGAGAGGAGGGAAGCCAGGGCTGCAGGGGATCGGGGAGGGGTCCATAAGGGGCATTTTCTAGGTAGCAACAGGTTTGGGCAAGCGGCAAATCTTCTGGGGCTGGAGCTGGAGGCAAAGGCTGAGCTCTGAGAGCTGCGTCCTGCGGGAGCCGTGCAGCCGCCTTGAGGTCTTGGAGAAGGAGAGGGAAAGACCCAAACTGGAAATTTCAGCTATGACAACCCTCCCCTGCCCGGGAGCGAGAAACGAGGGAGTCCGAGGTGGAGCTCAGCTCTTCCGTTTTCTCAAAGGGAAACTAAAACACGCAGAAAAAAGCCTCCAGTCAACCCCCGAGAAGGGAGAGGAGACCTGAGAGGTGAAGGGATGGGGCAAACCACGTTGAGCAAAAGGCCCCTGGTCGGAAACCCCACTGGGGTCACCCTGAATGGCCGCGAAGCCCAGAGGATCCAGCAGTGCGCTGCAGTGATTGCAGCCTCAGCCCTGGGAGCCTGGCCAGAATTTCAGGGCTGAGCAGGGAAAATATACGGGGATAAAAACAGAAAAGAAAAGTCAGACCATATTCTGTGTTCCCCCGCCAGCTGATTCGTTCCAAGGATCCAAAGAGAAATGCGCTATAAAATATAGATTCTGGCCTTGCAGGCATCACGGAGAGAAATATTCGCACCTACACATCAAGGCGCTTCCAGAGATGTCTGTGGGGTGGAACAGGAGAGACTGGCAGAGAGGGGGAAAAAAAGAGAAGAAAAGATGAAAATATTTGCCTTTATTTGATTTTTCCTCCCAGAAATATTGCCAAAATCAGAAACCAAAGAGCTGGGCTCCCTTCCAGCTAGACCCAGAATCCAATTTTCCAGCAGTGATTATTTCCAAACGTTAAATCTTTAAGTAGTTCCAATTTTTCCTCTTCAAACTGCTTTGGGCTTGGGGTCTGGTTTGGTTCCTTTTTTTTTTCTTGAATTTTGTAACGACAGCTTCAAATTCAATTGCTTAGAAAATTACAGACTGTCAAAAAGTTAGAGCAAAGCTTTTCAGATTCCAGATGGCATAAATATTAAGTGGATACTATCGGGAATATAGCAAAAAGATAGTTGCAAATATAATTAGTAATAAACATATTTGTTAATTATAAGTGCAATTGTTGATAGGAGAGACGAGTGAGTAAAAGAAATCAATCCTTTCCTTTAAAATAAACCCACTCCTCTTGCCGTATTGAAAGTAGCACTAAATATTACACTGAATTTTCTCTGTAAAATTGTCAAGGAGCAGAAATCGTAATTTGAATTTGGAACCCACATTTTGAACTATTTCACGGCAAAGTGTGGTCGAAATTTTCCTACCATGTAATAAAGAAGAATCACTGAACGGAATCTGGATTTTTAAAAGTTTGAGGTATGCCGCAATTTCGGAAATCGGCAGCCTCTCTGACTAAACTAGCCAAAGTGCAAGTTTGGGGTGAAACCAGGTAAAAAGCGGATTCCCTCTGCGATTTTGTTTCTCCTGGTGTACCATCCGCAAGGCGAGAGAGCCGAGGCGGCTGCTGCTGGGAACTGCGGCGCAGGCACGGCAGGGTGCGAGCCAAGCCCGCTCCGAGGATTTCTTGTGAAACAGAAAAAAAAAAAAATCTTATTTCCATTATTCAGCGACGGGTGTCTGTACCCTCGTTTTACGGCGATGTCTGTCTGCGCGCAGGGTGGGCTGAGCGCTTCTTCTGGTGCATAGCCCTCCTTGTGTTCCAAAAAAAAAAAAAATTGCAAGAAAATAAAATGATACAAACTACCAGAAAAATCTGGAGCAAGTCGGACAGGTTGCTCTGTTCGCGGATCCCGCTTTGGCCTCACGCCGGGACAGCTTCTCCTGAAAATATCCAGCATGGTTTGAGCTCGAGAGGCTTCACCCGTCGGTTCGCCGGGGCCCGCCGGCGCCTGGACGGCAG